GTCATTCCAGCGTACGGTTGCAGCGAGAGCTGGGATCTCCCAATCTCGTTTTTCAGAAGTGCTGTCCGACGGGGTCGGGGTTCTCCCCCTGCGCCTGTGGAGCAACATGCCAATGCTGCTCATCCACAGTCACTTCTTGTGAGCCATTTGGTATGTGCATTTTTCTACAGGCCAATACAAAACACCTGTTTGGTTTTTTTTTGTTTTTTTTTGTTTGTTTTTTTTTTTTTTTACAGCAGTGAAGTAGAAATTCTGCCACATACCACCTTAGGGAATAAAGGTTGCCAAAGTTTTTTCTTTATATATATATATATATATATATATATATATATATATATATATATATATATATATATATATATATATATATATATATGTTTGTTGGGGGTCACTGTAAGATTTAAATTTCTTAATGCACTAGTTTGTAGAAACTACAAACTACTTTGCCGCAAACCACAAAACGCGCAAAACCATCATTTAAATAGGGCGTCTCCAACAGTTTTGCACCTGCAACCAGTTACGCAATCACTCTTGTTAAATCACCCGCAAACCATGGTTCAGCCCCTCGCTCAAAATTCCAGTTTGCGAGCGCAAATTACTGCACGCAAAATTGGATCTTGATAAATCCGGCCCAATATCTTTATCCTTAGATGTCTTAGAGTAAGCCCTTCAGTCCAGTATCAGAAATACAGAGAGATTATATGGCAGTGTTGAAAAGCAACCCAGATATGGTCATCTACCTACGTAGACCATGAATGGCTAAAGTTGGTCCCCAAGGGCCACTGTCCTGCAGGTTTTAGAGGTTTCCCTCTTTCAACACAGTTGTTTACCATGGATATCTGATTAACAGTCTTTTGGTGAAGTGCAATAATCAGAATCAGCTGTGCTGAACCAGAGAAACCTCTGAAACCTGCAGGACAGCGGCCCTCAAAGGCAGACTATGGGCAGGCATGACCTAGACTGTCAGGCTGTGCTATGAGAGCAGTTCTCAGAAAAGCAGCTGAGGGATATTTGTTTTGTATAGAGATCTTGCATTTATACCATTCCCACCCAAAAAGAGTTGGTGGGAGGATTATGATATGGGGAATCATTTATGAAGCAGAGTCAGGACAGCAGGTTGGCGTTTATGAGAAGGTGATTGGAAATAAAGATGTTGAAAACTTAAAATTAAGACTCCTAAAAGCTACAAAAAAATAAAATAAAAATAAAAATTATATATATATATATATATATATATATTTTATTTTTTTTCAGGTGAACACGCATGGTCTTAAAATACATGTAAACCTACAATAAAAATGTTTCATTGTTTTTTAGATCTCAAAGTCTGCCACCTGAACTTCCAGCATGTGTTACCCAGTTGATTCAAGAGGCATAAAAATATGTATGCACCTATGTAACATGTTTTAGATTCTTTCTTGTAAAATAATTTCCAAAAGTCACGTTCGTTTTTCAAAATCCATTGAAAATTATGATTTCGAGGGACATTAATACTTTTGCATTCTATTGCAGCTTCATTGCAACCACTGGGTTCATCTCCTTAGATCCTAACTAAGGTTTTACATTAACATTATTATATACTTCACCCTCAAGTAACATGTGAGGTCTTACTGAGTTTTTACCAATTCAATAATTTTTCCAGAGACATTTCTTTAAGAGTGGAAATGCATGTTGTTAGTTTCAGAAAATTGCTTTAAAACTTTTTTTTTTTCCTCACACACTGGCAATGTTGGGGAACCACAATGGAGAGAATAAAAGAATGACTGTCATTTCTTACAGCACTGTGCTTCCTAAATAAGTAAAATCTGTTTGTTGAATCAAGCTTTATGAATACCTTATTCGGTCCATGATGCTCATACAGAATCAGCTTTTTTCATTTCTGAAAAGGTGGGAACATGCCCAAGGTGCTGATATAAGATCTGTTTTAAAGCAGCACTCCTCTTAATTCTTTTGATGAAATGAAGAATTGTCTCGCAGGGTGAGAAGGGTGGGGGCTGGCTGCTATGGAATATGCTTTGAAACCAGTCTTCCCTGTAGGAAAATGACTAACCTTCCAAGGTGCTGCTGGATCAGTTTTGAAGCCCCTTTTATGAAACTGAGTTTTTAGTGGTGCTGAATTTGGAACAGCTCTGTTTTCCAGGTTGAAACACAAAAATTGTCTTCAAAATCAGCCCTTTGAAACATACAAAAGCTATTCTTTTCTCTGTAGAGACTATCAGTGCCAAACAACATAAATTCCAAATACTGTATTCTGTCTCAACCATTGTAACCTAAATAATGTCACATCTAGAGCTACCAAAAACAAAGACGGTGCCTCCAGGGCAACATCTGCTACTAATTTCTATAAAATGCATGGGAACATTTTTCTTTTTGGAGCACCATACATTGTTTTTATGCAAAAACGATGTAAGAAGCTAAGTGGAATCTTCCACACAGCTGATTTGCAAATGAGAGGGGGTGTTTGTATTAAGTTTAATCAAAATATTTCAATAAGACCACTACATTGGGGGATAAATCACGTATTCTATCCCATTAAATCCAGACAGTTTTCCTAAGTTCTAAAGTTATTTGGGCAGATTTTTTATTTAGTTTATTTTTAATGGGAAATTATGCATCATAACTGAGATTTAGTCCAAAGCAAAACATGCATTTAGCTTAATGCAAACATTGAAATACATGGCAAATGTTGTATGTTATTCTTTAACATTTTTTTAACCTTCCAGTTTTTCATTTGAAAGCTGACTACTTAATTCAGATAATGCTATTTAGGTTTATATCCAAACAAGATTTAAATAAGCTTTTTACTGAAAATGACAGCTTCTCTAAACTTTTTTTTTTCTCTGCAGTTCTTGAACTTTAAACTGAAAGGTTAAATCAATTTGCTCATTAACAAAAGAGAATAAAATATGTTAAACCAGGAAAAAAATGAAACTTATATGTTTATTTTACTATTGTGTGTAGACATAAAGAGATGCTTATCAAAATGTGAGTATTGCAGTTATATTTTATAATACAAGTGGGAACTAAACATTTCTGTACAGTAAGCATATGCTAAAACTATCCAATGTGAACTTCGACTTCCACATCTTTACAGAGGAGATTAACATGATGTTTAACACCTGTTGACATGTGTCTTATTCAAAACAACCCCAAACACTTTTTCTGCTCACCCTCTCTGTCTCATTGACATCTATTGATTTGTTGGTCATACCTTCAAGTACGATTTTTACAGATATTTATGTTTGTAGCTGCAGGCCTACAGATCCCATTACAGGCTTGAGCAATAGGCACAGACAGTGCTTCAACACCTTGCTGCTAAAGAAAAATTTTAAATTCAAGAGACCGAAACCTAAGTCAGCACTTCCACCCCCAGAGCTGGCGATGTAAAATGGCCTGGGATGGCAAGAACACCGAGACAAATAGTGAACACTTAGGATCAAGGAAAATATCATTACCTTGCAAAAATGTTTATTAATGTTTTCTTTTGTAACTTCTTCTTAAATCAATGTTAACCTTTTCCAAACATTATGATTTGAAAACAAGCTACTCATCATTAGAAAGTAGAGTTCAGATACAAACGTTAAAGGTCTGGGAAACTAAATTTTAGTCATACATTTGAGAAAAAGCATTTGTTATTTTTAACAAATAATCATGTCACTAAACAAAACACAACAAAACAAACAAAAAATACAAGTGATCACTTGTAAAACAAGTAACTTACTATTGCTGACAGATGGAGAGAGAGATGTATAGATGCATTAAGGCAATGGCTGCAGTAATGTGCTGCCTTTCTGGTGTGTCATGATGAGGAAAGAACTGAGCCAGAAAAACAAAGTTCCTAATTAACTGGTCTGTCAACATTTACTTTTATGGATCATGACTGAACCACAGCATCCTGGATACAAAGATCTGAAATTACCTTGTTCTGTTGTTGGCTGAACTGAGTGTTAGGAAACGGGTGTGAAGCGTGGAGTAAAGCATTTGCTCTTCTACACAGAAGGGATTTAGCTGAGGGGTTTTGATTTTGATCAGCTTGCCTTCTGGGTATTTGCCTTTGAAAGTTTTCTGGAAGTGTCCTGCTGATTTGAAAATGCCAAATCATGTTTAAAAATGTTTCTGGTAGGTGCAATGTTTGAATTTCAAAACAAAACCCATTACCTTTGCAACTCGATCACAGGTAAGCAGGATGAAATGACATTGTTTCAAATGTTTATTGGAATGGCACCTGAAAAAAAATGTGGTTGTTATATGGGTTTCAGACGAGAACATTTTTTCCCCCCTCTAAATCCCCGTTCTTCTATTTTCACCTGTCTGTGTTCAGCTTATGGCTACTAGCTTTTAAATCTTTGTTGGTACATCAGCTTCCTAACCTTCCTAACCTCGCTGACTGAGCTTAAGAGACTTTGTGTGATGGTGTGTAATCTGTAGCAGGGCTCCCCTGTCTCTGTCTTAGCCTCTCTTAGCCTCTCCCAGTCCCTTGTCCCCAACAGAATGTCTCAACTCCACAAACACACACATGCACACACACACCCTTTACGTCTAACCAATAAACCTAAGTTTAGATTTCAAATGAACCATTGTTTTTATGTAGTACAGTATTGGAGGTAATATAAATTTAGCTATAATTTATCTTATCAAATAAAAACAATGCTCACTCTTATAAATCAGTAACATCTTTTTAAGATGAACTTTTAACAGGTGATACCCTACTTGATGCAGCCACCCTTTGTTATTGCAATATGCAAGAAAATAATTGTTGGTTATGTTACACAAGATTTACAGTAATTAAAGCAAAATTATCAGAGTTGTTTTGTTGTTTCAGTGGTTTGTCAAACATTGCAATCTTAACAGATTTTTTTTTCAGTTTATTTATTTATTTTTTGGTATTTTTTCATGTGATGCCCCTCTTCTCCCCACCGTTTCCTTCCCTCCCGTCAACATTAAGTGTTGCTTCCTTTCACTGCCACCAGGGGCTTTCCGCGCCGCGTCGTGCAGACAGCAGCAGGTATTTCCCTCTGTTCCCTATCTTACCCTGCGCTTCTAGGAGCGGAGGCTCCAGATGAGCTGCGCGGTGGCAGACAGCGCGCACAGAACTGCCTGTCCCTCTGATTCCCCTGATCTCCCAGGAAGTCGCATAGGGTTGGATGCCTGGGAGGAGCGAGAAGTTAACATCACTCCCGTCCCGCTGCAGAGTGTCACTGCGCCCAGGGTTTGTTCTCCTCTATTCCACCTAACAAAGGTAAGAGTTTTAGGATGCTGGAATTAAACGATAAAGTTCACAGCGCGTTGGTATCTTGGAATATAGGCTTAGTAAAAAAAGAAAACATATATATTTTGGAAAAAAAAGAAAAAGATAATATTCAATTTCTGTGATTTTGCTTATAGTTATAGTGGAGGCATGAAAGCATTTGCATCATGTCCAGTCTTTATTATCTTTATTTAAGGAGCGCCAGCCGCTAACTTGTTGCCACTTGTAACTCATTTAACGTTTGGTTAGTCCTGTCTGTAATGAGCGCTGCGCATAATTTAAGCGATAAATGACCTCTTGTACTAAAACAGGAAATGCAATACGATGACTTATCCTCCCGGTTATGATTTTTTTTTACCCCGTCGAGTTCATTCATAAGCTCTGTAGGTGCGGAAGACCTCTTTTAATCAGCATATTTTCGCAGTTGGATCCAGATGCAAATATTTTTGTTCACCTCATATTTTAGCCTCCATAATAAATAGTCGCTAAAGTGTCATTTGGATTAATCAGCATATGCGCTGCCTTTCTATACAGATCGGATTAAACAAAAAATGAAATAATAAATAGTACTTTCTTGTATATATTTCGAGGGAATTTGTTCAAAAAATGAAGAGAAGCGCCTCCTGCTCTATAAAGCTGGTTTCTAAAGACTGCAGCCACTTGATGCGCCAACAGGATGCGTTTGGGGAAGTTGGATGTTTGCCACTTTACTCTGAGGCCGTGCAGTTAAATAGATCCTAACATAAAAGCACTTGCGTTTCAACAGTAATTAAGTATTTTAATTATTTACCGTCATAGATGAGATATAAATTTTTTGTAACACAACAGTGGCTAAAAATTAATTTTTCTAACCCATTCCCCGTTTTATTCAAATTACCTACCACTCATTTACTCTAGGAGGACTAATGGATATTCACAAATCAGATCACCAGGAGCAGCAGTTATGTCTTTTTTTTCTTGGTTCACAAAAAACTAAGTGTTTTACGTTATTGCTTTTCATTTTGAAAATATTCCTTTGTGTAAGTTGTGTTTCATTTTTTTTATTTTTTTTTTTTAGATGACTGTATGGATTTTTCAGAATAATTTGGCCTTGTTTGTTAAGCTCCTTTAAATATTTGCTAGTGAAAGATTTGAATTCTGATGTTGAGTTGAAAGAAATACAAATCAATGTCTCCTCTCGCTGCATTTTTGAAATGAGATGAAAAGGCAAATCCTTTCCATCTGAGGTTAATATTTGCTCTGTGGGAAGGAAAACATCTTTTTGCATTCTGCAGGAAATATAATCAGTACCCCAAAGCTGCGTGAGTGTGTTTCTGTTCTTACACTGAACTTGCCACTGTGGAATTACAATACGCTATGAGCTTGGATATTACTAAGTGACCTTGGCTGAGGCTAGAAATGCTTAACTTTTCACTCCTTAAGTGTGTCCCCACTGTTGACTATCTCTGGGGATTCACAGACTGTCAGCGAGTAGCCTGGCTCTGTTTATGAGACCTCACAAATGTCTCAGTTTACCACTTGTTCTGAGCTAATTGCTGTGTTTTAAAAGTGAGAAAAATGCATGTTACCTTAGCAGCCAATCAGTGCCTTTAATTTCCCAAAGAGATGCATGTCTGGCATCCGTCAAAGAGAGAGGAAATAAGGATAAAGATGATGCACCTTAATACATCTGGATAACAAATAAACGATGAGGTTACATTATATACATTAAAACAGATTTGCCCTCATATATTCAACATATTTCAAAGGACAGTCAAAAAAATATATTTTTTACATTTTACATCTTTCCTTTGATTCAGGGCTTCATGTTTGTTCTAAGAATGTTTGAATAATTTATGACTGATTGTAAAAGGGCAAGCAAAATGAAGGTTTCCTAAATCCAAAAAGTATAACATTATATTTCAAATGTTGCAATTTTACAGATTCTTTAATTTTTAAGACATTATCACATGCAGAGAAAATTCCTTATACACAGTGAAATACACCTTCAATATATTGCTGAAAAAGAGTCTCTGACTAAGCAACAAACTTCATCATAATCTCAAGCTGTTGACCAATACTATACTATACTATACTATACTATACTATACTATACTATACTATACTATACTATACTATACTATACTATACTATACTATACTATATCCACTCACTGTTGATTTAATATTCAAATATGAAATAATTAATTTATTTAATTTCGAATCATCCTGCTGCCCCCTGATTGAATTTCACCCAGGGTAGTGAGCCGTATTCCCTATAAAAAGTTAATGATTGCAAGCCATATAGCTCTACCATTCCGAAACATTTCAGGCATGCACTGGTAGATTTTAGTCCAGTTTTTTATTTGTAATTTTGTCAACCTAACCATTAAATTGAACCTTTATGAATAATGGCTTTGGAATCTGAGCCTTCCATTTTATAGCTCTTTAAATATTTATCATTCAGTCCTACACTGTCCACTATAATAACCCAAACTACCTTGTGAGGTGTAACGTCATAGCGGTAGTGGGTAGTCCATTGATTCAGCTTCTTTCGTCACATTTAACAGGTTATTATTTTTTAAGTTTTGGAACAGCTTTATTTTTTCTATATTTGTGTGGCCTTACTGCTGAAAATGCTATGTCTGCAAAAAAACAGTAAGACGGTGGTCATGTAACATCCACTTAATGACTCAAGATTGCTAAGCAGAACATTTCATTGTTGCAGGATAATCACTTATATTCACATGACCTGTCAGTGATTTGCTTGTTGGATGATTGCCCACAAAGAAAATGAACATAACTTTGAACTGCTAGCTGATTCTAAAATGACCAGCTTCCCTGAAATAAATAGTCATTCTTTACCCCATCTTTCTGTCCATTTCACACATGAATCTATTTTGCATCCTACCCTCTTCATTTATTCATCTAGTGGACTAACTAGCATGTACATTACAAGGGCCATGTAGCAGTAACCCAGATGGCAGACTGGGCTGATTGTGATTTATGTACCAAAAGCAAACGCATTACTGTGGGTTTCTGGAGTTGGTGCCAATCCAGGCAAGCATTATTTTCACACATTTTTATCACCTCACATAAAGAAATACAACAACAAAATAAAAGCTTACATGCATAAAAAAAGCCTTTGTGAGCACACTGTAAAACATATTTTTTCGCCTTTTGTTGTTTTTTCTTTCCACCTTTCCTTCTTTTCCTTCTCTCCTTGTCATACACATATACACACTCGCATGCAGCCTCCATGAGAAATCGTTTAGATGAAACAGTGCACTGTTTTGAGACATTGATTACCGTTTACCAAGCTGGCGCATAAATGTAGTGTTAAAGGAGAGATGACTTGGACTGATGGGGCAGAGCAGAAGAAAGGAGAGATGAAATGACACAAGCTGGAAAGAAAAAGAGGGGTGATAGATTACAGAGATGTGGCAGTAAAGATGAAATGTGAGGGGGCAGACCAGAGGACTTTTATGGCTAACCACGAGGGGAGCGATTAGGCCAACTAATTGATCTGGATTTGTGGTGAGGCTACCAGTTCATTCTCATGCTTATCATACACTCTCCCTCCCTCTTTATCTTGCACACACCTATAAACACACATTTTCACGGTCACACTCCACAAACCTCACACATGCTGTCATGTTGGCGGTCAGAAATGGTCAGCCCTTATAGTCACTTTATTACCACCTAAGGGCAGAAACTGCATCAACCGTATTAGTGCCAGAGCTCTATGATAGAATCACCAGGAGGGAGGAGGGGGAGAGCTGCGGGGGGTGGACAGGATCCATGGTTGATTTTTCCAGGCCTGTTTGTGCTTATTGCAAGGTGAGGGTTACAGGCAACACTTTGATCAAACAATCATCAGTGGCTTTGTTCAGGAAGATGCAAGTTTATGTATGTTTTTTTCAGGCTTTCGTTTTGGATTAAAAAATTTTTAGATATTCCTTTTATGGTGCTGTTTGAAGACTGCAAAATTTTAATGCAGGAGGAGAGGATGCAAGGATGGACTTTTCAATTAACAAATAGTTAAAGTGTAGTGTGGTGGATTTTTTTTTTTTTTATTGACCACTAGAGTCAACAGTTTGTTAAAGTAACTGTTGCTGCAGCTATTGACATACATGTATTGGTGGATGTTTCTCTCAGACATTTAAAGATATTGAATTATACATATTGTTTGCGAAATAGCTGAAGCTATGGAGGTTTATGTGAACATATTTTTTTAACTCCTACAAATAGTTTTCAGGGGGATGTTATGGGTTATGTTTGGACTTTACAAGGCAATAATTGAACCTGATGTATACTACTTTTTTGTAACATTGGTTGTATTTCTTGATGTATTTATCAATTTTGTATTTTGTATATATTCAGTGCTATGTATAATGCTAGTTTTCCATTGCATATACTCTTTGCAAGTTGCTCCAATATTTCACTTCCAGTCTCATCTGACTGGAACACCCTCATTCACAGCTTTGCTTTGTTTCATACAGGCTTTGTGGTAAACTGAACACTTCATTATTTCTGTAAACAATGCCTCTCATCTTCCTTAAATTCCCTAAAGTCAAGTGTTGATGAGTGTGTAACTAGTAGTTTTCTTGTAAGCAGTTGTTCCCACCTGTGGATCTCTTCAGCTCTCTAAGAGTTAGCATAAGCCTTTTGGTTGTTTCTCAGATCTTCTCCTTGGCAGTAGACAGTATTGTTGTGGCATGTTTGTGTTTGTTTTACTGTGTTTTCCATATTTGGATTATGGATCAAGTGTTCCATGAGACGTTTATTGCTTGCTGTGCTGTTTTAAAATCTAATGCTGCTTTAAACCTCTCCAATCTGGGGTCTTTATAATGCTGCTTGTTTACTGATGTCACACAAACGACTCTAATTACATTGGAAATCAAAAAACATGGCGGACTTCATATTTGTAATCAGATGAGAGGGGTACTTCACATTTTCAGGCTTTTATTTGTTAAGTGTTGTAAACGTTTGCTACCTCTTAGAGATTCTATT